GCAGGTCTTGGTGCTAATGAACCAGTATGGCAGCCACCAGCAACAATGTTCACATGATAGAATGTTCCTAAGTATGGCTGCCACCAGTGTCTGTGTCCCCAGAGAGGGCCACAACTGCCCCTTGCCTCTCTGGGAGACTCTCCAAAGACTAGAAGGTAAGTCTAGCCAAGGCTTCTATCCAATTACTGCTTTTGCCCTGGGTCCCAGTGCACATGAGATTTTATGTGTTCCCTTTAAGAGTGAAGTCTTTAATTCCCCTAGTCCGGTGAGGCTCTCAAAATTAAGCCCTATTGGCCTTCAAAGCAAAATGCTCTGGGAGGCTCATCTTCCCAGTGCAAGACCCCTGAGATGGGGAGCCCAACGTAGGGTTCAGAACTCTCACTCCTTTGGAAGAACCTCTGTAATATAATTATTCACCAATTTGTGGTTCACCCACCTGGGGGTATGGGATTCGATTATATAGAGAGTCTACCCCTCCTACCTGTCTCGTTGTGGTTCCTTCTTTATGTCTTTAGTTGTAGAAAATCTTTTTTGGTAGATTCCAGTCTTTTTCATCAATGGTTTTTCTGCAGAAAGTTGTGATTTTGGTGTGCTTGTGACAGGAGGTGAGCTCAGGGTCTTTCTACTCTACCATCCTGGCCCCTCTCTGTACAGTGTTAATTTGAGGCTGTGTGAATACCTGTTCCTCAACAAATTTCCATTCAATGGTTTGAGCAATCATTAATGATGGTTTCCTGAGTCAGTTATCATATTGGTAGTTGCAAAACTGTGATTTTATCATTTCTTATACATTTATTAGTTTATATTCTTCTGTAAAGAAGAATATTCCCATCTTACTAAGACTCATGAATTTCTTTTATTCAGCATATCATAATCTATTATTAATCTTTGGTTTTTTAAAATATTCAAATTGTCAAGCAAGAGCTCTTACAGAAGAGTTCCTTTGTCCTTTTGACATCTCTTCATCAGTTTTTTGGCACTTCCTTAGTTTCTTTACAACACATTATTTCAGGCTTACTTTGAATATTTCCTATCTCATATCTGGTATTAGTTCCAAGGGATCCTGATTCCTTTTAGTGAAGAATTGTATTTAGAATCCTTTATATATATTTTTTCACATCTTTCTTACAGAAGAGGTAGAATAAAAAATCTGATCTTTTTACCTAACATGCTTTGCTTAAAAATATATCCCAGCAATTGCTTTGTATCTGTTCTTAGAGATCATTCTTATTCTTCTCTACAGCTGAATAATATTCCATGTACCATAGTTTTTCTCCTATGTTTGGGCTTCTAGGTTGTTTCCAATATTTTTCTATTGCAAAGAACACTAAAATTAGTAAATGTGTACATAAGTATTTTTATATTATTGAAGTTACATATCATGGTAGGGTCATAATAGTGGGATTTCTGGGTGAACAAATAAATACTTATATAGTTGGTTAGATATTTCCAAGTTCACCTTCATAGGGATTGCACAATTTGCACTCCCCCTAGCAATATAAGCAAGTGCTGATTCTTCACAATCTAACCAGCAAAGTGTGTAGTCAGGCTTTTGAATTTTTGCTAATTTGATAAGTGAGAAATGGTTTCAGTGTGGTTTAAATGTGCTTTTCTTTTATTATGGGTGAAGTGCAGCATTTTTTCATATATCTAAGGTCTATTTTTCTGTATTTATAATTAACTGTTAATCTTTTTCCAGTTTTCATCAAGTTTTTTTCTTTCCCTCTCTATTTTTAAGAGTTCTGCATGTATGGATATTAGTCTTTTACAGATGGTATATTTTAAATATTTCTTCTGGTTTGGCAATTGTCTTTTGACTTCCTTATAATTTTTTTCATGCAATGTATTATTTTAAAGTTTCATTCATCAATCTTTTAAAACTACATCTGGATTTCTCACATACATGTTATAAAAATGAAATCACATGTATCTCCTTCCAAGACTTATGTTTTCAGTTTTTTACTGTTAGATCTCTGATCCATTTGAAGTTTTTTCTGGTGTTTGATGCAAAGTATGCGTCCAGTTTTATCTTTTTCCAAGTGGCTATCCAGTACTTCTCATATCATTTATTAAAAAGTCTATTTTTTCTTTAGTGCTTTAAAATAATGTCTTTTTCATATGTTAAATTTCTACATGTTTTGGAGTTCATTTCTGGATTTTTCATTTGTCAGTCTATCCATGTATGAGTATTATACTGTTTTAATTACATATAATTTCTAGTTTGTTTTAATATCTTATAGAGTTAGTCCTAGAGTTTACCTTCCTTTTCTCATGTTTATTTTTACACATGAAATCACAATAAATCTGTCCAGATCTAGAAAAAAATGGTATTTTTATTTAGATCACATTAAATTCATATATAAGCTTAGAGAGTATTGCTGTTTTTATGACACTGAATTTTTCTGTCCAAGAACAAGGAATGTATTTTTTGTGTCTTTTAGAAGTGTTTCTTTTTTGGCTCCCTCATTAAGTGTTACATATTTCTTGTTAAGTATATTCCTAAAGATTTTCTGTTGATATTGTAAATGGGATTTTTTCTTCTATTGTAACTTCTGATTATTATTGTATAAGTGAAGGCTTTTAATTTTTGTATATTAATATTACACACTTCTAACTTAGTGAATTTATTGAGTAATATTTACCATTGATTCTTTGAGTTCTCCTGTTATAATGTCATATCATCTTCAAAGAGATCAGTTTACTTCTTCATTTCCAATCCTTTTTCCTCTAATTATTTTTTTCTTATTTGATTTCACTGGTCAGTGCCCCAAGTACAATGTTAAATAGTGATGGAAACAGTGGGTATGCTTACTTTGTTCCTTACTTTAGTCAGAATAACTGTTGTTTCTCCATTAAATAAGGAGCTGACATTAAATATAAGGTCTCTAGACCTAGCTCCATGTCAATCTCCACTTCCACCTCCACCTCTATTCCTATACCTATCTCTGTCCCTGTCAATATTGTTGTCATCATCTTCTTTCTAAATGGATAGATAACATCCAGAGTAGGACTGTAAAATCATGCTCTATACAAAGTGTAGAACCTACACAGTACTAAAATTATTAATAACTAAAACAATGTAGACAATAGCAAAATACAGGTTATTTTTTTGGAATGGTCTGAGACCATCAACACAATTCTCCAAATGTCCTTTCTCTCCCTTATAAGGATATCTTCTGGACTGGATTTAGCATACAAAGTTTTGGGGTTTTTTTGTTTTTTGTGGTACGCGGGCCTCTCACTGTTGTGGCCTCTCCTGTTGCGGAGCACAGGCTCTGGACATGCAGGCTTAGCAGCCATGGCTCACAGGCCCAGCCGCTCCGCGGCATGTGGGATCCTCCCGGACCGGGGCACGAACCCGTGTCCCCTGCATCAGCAGGTGGACTCTCAACCACTATGCCACCAGCATACAAAGTTTTAATGAATGTGTATGCAACATTACTTGAACAGAGAGCCATTTCAGCAGAACATGCCCATTGTGTGCCCCTTTAGGTAGCTTGTGTGACTTTTTACAATAAATCGTGCCTTACAAATCCATATCTGATTTGATATATCAATAAAATGAGCAATTATTCTACTAAAATGTCTATCTTACTAAAAGTATTTTAGAGATAAGGACTCTTCTTGGTCTTTCTGCTAGTAAATAGCACTAATGTGTTTGTAGGAGGTCAGCTTGTTTGCAAGGAGATTGACTGGGTCATTTTTTCTCCTTCCTCAGAAGTCTCCAGTAAAAAAAGAAGAATATGATACAAGATTGTTACATATTTTTTTTCTTTTTTTTTTACAGGATAAGGAAGTATCAATTCCCTGTTGTTGAATGTTTCCATAAGGAATAGATGTTGAATTTTTTCAAAGGTTTTTAAGCATCTTTTGAGATAATTATCTCATTTTTCTCCTTAGATCTCTTAATTTATTATATTAGTGGATTTCTACTATTGAGCCATTGTGTTCATTATGCATTATTGTTGTTTACTGTTATGTGTGTGAGTGTATGTGTGTGTGTGTGTGAGAGAGAGAGATCTGTATTCATTATGCATTATTGTTGTTTACTGTGATGTGTGTGAGTGTATGTGTGTGTGTGTGTGAGAGAGAGATCTTACACAAGTTTAGGTATTAGTGTTACACTTGCTTCATAAAAGAAATTTGGGAGTTCTTCATTTTCTATCCTCTGGAACAATGTTTAAATATGTTTTTTAAAAACTAGGTGATATCTCCTTGTGAAATCATTTCTGGGCCTTGTGCTTTTTTTGTAGGGTAGAAATTTGATAACTTTATTCTGTCTATGGAAAATGGTTTGCTCAAGCTGTCTATCTTGATTGGAGTCAATTTTAGTAAATTGTGTTTTCCTAAATAATCATTGATTATTTTATATAGACATTAAATTTTTTGCATAAATTGTGTAGTCTGTTCTGATTGTTTTAATTTCTTCTGCTTCTTAAATTCTGTTTATATTATTATGTTACGTTTATATTATTATTACTCTTTAAGAAACAGAGGAATTTCAGATTGTATTTCCCCCTTTACTCAAGAATTATTTCACACAGTGCTTCCTTTAATAGATATTGAGGAATTTTCTGATTTTGTTATTAATTTTTGGTTTTACTGCATTGTCATCAAAGAATGTTTTTTCTGTTATTTTTATTTTATGGAACTTACTGAGCTTATCTTTACGACTTGATATTTGGTAAATAGTTGTACATGTTCCATTTGTGTTGAAGAAGAAGAAATATTCTCTATTTGGGCTTACAGAGGACAGTATCTATTCTAATACTTACCTTATTGGTACTGTTGTATAGGTCTTGTATATCCTTGCCTATTTACTGTCTACTTGATTTGTTTTGGACTGAGAGTTATGACAGTGTCTCCTCTTTTTAGTGGGTTTCTCTCTGTTTACCCTTTACTTCCTTTTAATTTTTGCTTTATGAATGTGATTTCTGTGTTTCTGGTACATAGATTTTCATGAATATTGTATCTTCTTTGTGAATTGTGGCTTTTAGTTTGTCAAGAGAAAATTCAGAGAGGTTTACTTGATGTGGATATTTTATTGAGCAAGAAACAAACTGCTCATGAATAGGGAGACTTCAAACCAGAAAGTGGTATGAACCTCAGAGGCTTGTTATTACAGGATGGCTTATAAAGTGAGAATGAACAAGTTGTTTAACCTCACAGTGATTGGTTGTTAGAATGGAGGTTTCCAGACAACAAGGGATTGGTTACAAGTGATTTTCTTCTATCATTTTAGGAAGATAACTTAAGTTTCCTTTGTGATTATCAGATGTCTTTACAAGAAATAATCTAAGTTTCACTTCCATTCACTTACAAGAACCTATGTAAGTTTCACATGCATAAACTAGATTGAGTTTTGCATATGTGGCTAAACTAGTTTTGTCTGCTTGGGAGACCTTCAAGCCTAATTTCCATTTTATTTTAACAAGTATTACATACTGTATGTTTTTTTTTAACATCCAACGCCTTTTGGTCTGAATTCTAGTCTGTTTGATATCAGGAAATAGCTCCTGTTTTCTTATTGTTTTCATTTGTCTTTTATACCTTTGTTCATCCATTTATTTTTAGGCTTTCTGAATTACTTTATTAGAGGTAATATCTCTTGCGTACAACATAAAGTTGGCTTTTGCTTTGCAAAAATTCCATGTTTTATTAAATAGACATCTAAGCAATTGTTATTTTATCTTAAGGCAACGGGGTGTAAGGAATTACAGGAGTCAGGGGATTATCAGTTACATGCAGTAGGAAGAACACTTTATGTTACCACATTGCACTGTTTCTTTCCCTTGATATATGTTATGTAGTTGGTTTTAATTGAGTCACTTTAAGGGCAGAGTGAATTTTTTTAAGTTTGCATTTTGCAGGAAAATAAGCACCAAAAAAGAATGAAAAAAGGATTTGGAACATGTTGCTCTAAGGGCGAATCTCAAAGAATATAAAGTATTTAAAATTTGGGAGATCAGGTTCTACTTCTACAGTATATTTCCTATTTACTATCAGTAAATCTTTGGATTACCACGTTAAACTCTCTAAACCTCAGTTTCACTATAGAGAAACTAAGGATAAAATTAGCCCTGCTACCTTCCTTTCAAAAATTCTGTACCCATCAAAATGTCCATCTCCATTATCCATTTTTCATAAGGTCCCATTCCATTACCAAACTCAGGTCTGGCTGCTCGCCACTCAAAAATCAATACCCGAGAGGCAGTTATTGGTCAAAAGGAAAGTTGCTGTTAATCAGAATGCCGGCAATCTGGGGAGAAAGGCAGACTCATGTCCTCCCAAAACCCAACTCTGAAGATTCTGCTCAGCCATGAAAGTTCTTAAAGGGAAAAGGAGAAGTAATCTCAATTAATCATTGAGATAGAGGATCAAATTTGTAGCCATCTCCCACTGCGTGGAGGCTTGTCAACTCCTTGTGATCTTTCTTTAGATGCTATCTTGTTCACACAGTTTGTTCATGAGATTACTAAAGGGGAAGCTAGGGAAGAAATCTGATCATCTGATAATTACTTATTCTTCATTTCTTCTTCTTTGATCTAAGGAAAGAATCAGCAGGTTAGGCAAGGTATTGTGTGATCAAAAGATTTGAAAAGTGTGCTTGGGCCAGACATGAGTGGAGCATGGGGGTGCATGGTTTAAGGTTAGTTACAATATAGCTTTCCTAAAGTGACAAGGGAAAAGGGATTTTCTGCTGAGAGTGGTTTCCTGCAAAGAGCTGCTTACAGATTCCCCCAGTCAGATATCATTCCATTTCTATGGGATTGGGGACGAAGCTGTATCTTCTGTAATTGCTTTATACTGAAAAATGGCGTTGAAGTCTTAGAGTGAAAGATATCGATATGGGTTTGAGGCATCTCTTTGCCGACAGTTTTAGTTGCCCCCTTACATATACGGGCAGAACAAAGTACAATTATTTTGCTGCCCACAAAGGTATAGATTATTATGAGTGATAGTGTTAATCCCGTTCTCTTCAGGCCAGTTTTTAGAATTGTGCTAGCCATAGATGCAGTACTGCTCAGGATGGAGCAGCTTATGTCACGGCTCCAATCTGACCATTATGAAGTTAGCTTTTTCCCTCTGGTGGCAGTTATAGTATCTGTAAAATAACTCAGGAATGCATATCAGACCCTGAGTCTGCGACTCTGTTGTCCTAATCATTAACTGCTTGAGCCTGCTCTTCTGTAATTCAGGGAGGCCTGGGAGATTTCAGCTTTTCTACAAAGAGGCAGGGGACATAGAGGGCCTTTGTACCAGTGTTGGGGGTGGGGTGACAGGGTGTGCTGCAGGGTTCTGCTTGGTTCCAACTCCCTAACAAAAATTTGGTCATGCTACTTATCTTATATATCTTCTATAATGACTTTCCTTTCTCTTTATGTATTTAAATAATTGAAATATTTTTATAAAATAATAACTCTAAACACCTTATACTTGGTAGTATTCTGCTCTACCCTTCTTCTGAGCTCTAGTCCTCTGGAGGTAAACACTCAGAATTTTCTGGGTTTTGTTTGTGTATGTGGCAGGGGGCAGGGGGTGGTACTTATTTACCTTCATTCCTCTAAGTAATATGAACACACTACTATTTCTTGGTTTATCAATTTGAGACAGTTGCTTCCTATTGCTTCTCCACTATGAAAAATGAGGATTAACTCAAATGGAACATCATCTTTTCTTCCCTTCCCAATATTTAATAGTTGTAACATTATTTTTGATTTTTCCTACTTCTAGCTTTAAATAATGTGCTTATATCTCTCCTTACTGCTCCATCAGTTTTAGGCACAACCAAACTTATTCCTTGCACCCTACCATTCCCTCTCAGCACTCCTTCCTAATTGCATCTTGAACTCTTTCAGCTCCACCTGTCATATATATGGTTATGGTTGATACAGTTCACATTCTCCTCTGTTAACATAATTACCTGTTTATGGAAAAGTCATAGGAAGAGATTGATTTTAAAGGATGAGCTCAAATGAACAGTATTTATATTATTGTCTTATTTTTATATTGGTAATATATTCCAGTTACATCCCCTTTTCTGGGTTTTAATACTTGTGCTCCTCAAAGGAGTATGTTCCTAGGATCAAGGTTAAATAGATTACTTTCATTTAAAATCTACCTTTGTAGCTTGTTTCATTTTTGGACTGTAAGTTTCTTACATTTCTGTTTTCTTGTTGAGAGAGTTTATCATTTCCCAAATATCTTCCACCTGTTTTCAGGGGTTACCAACTGTTTGATTCCATTTCATTCTTCTTCTTGGAGATACTCTTTTAGGAGCTTCACTTTCTCTTCTAACGTGGACCCATTCAAGGCTGCTATTCAACTAGTGCCTACCAGTACAACTGTACCTGTTTGAAAACAATGAAATATTTGTATGTCAGAAGCAAAATATTTTAATAGTATCTATAACAAATAGTAAAATTAATTAGATACATAAGTTTACATACAAATGCATTAATTCAAGTATTGTCACAGGATGCTGTGATGACCACTGTAAATGGGCCTCCCTTCTATCACAGCAACTTCTGAGAAGCTACCTGCCACTTAGATCCAGGTAGGCAATATAGCATTCTTTACAAAGTACTCTGTGGTTTAGGCTAGTTGTTCATTTTTATACTCTAAATAATTTTATACTTTGTGTGTTAACACCCTAATCCTTGCACAAAGTTGTTAGTGAATTGTTTTAATATTCATAAAATCAAGAATTAATAATGAAATATTAAAACTATCTTTTCCATTTAAAAAAAAAACACTGCCTTTTCCCTTTTTTATTTTTTTTGCCTCCTGGGCAGTGCTGTCATTTCATTTAAATGTCTGATTTTCCTTTTATTTTCAGAGAGTACACCTGAGGTCTTTTCTTCATAAAAAAATGCAGAGATGATAAAATCTGAGTCCTTGCATTTCTGCAAATAAATTTATGAAACAGTCAAACTTAATTGATAGTTGGGCTGAGCACAGAATCATAAATAACATATCTATTTTTTCACACTCTGAAGATATCACTTCCTGTTTTCGCATCCATTGTTGCTGATCCTCTTAGCAGATCCAGTTTTTTTACCCACTGTATTTTAGGTGCTAATGCTAATCTGAGACTGATTGTTTTGTTGATGACATTGCTCAAAGGACCCTTTCGATATAAATATTATGACTCTGAGGTATTTTCTTATATTACTTGTTTGATAATTTCCTCCCTCTTTTTTCTCACTTCTTTCTTTTAGACTTCCTAATAGCTGAATGATGAAATGATGTTCTCTCTCTCATGATGCTGTATTTCTCAACATTTTCGCTTTGTTTCCGTTCTTCCTTCACATGCTAAGAAATGTGTTCCATGTAATTATCCTGTTTTCCATTAAATTTTTCATTTTGGAAATCATTACTTCTAATTAATTGTTCACTTTGTCATTGTTCCCTTTCCACTGCACAATATACAGATAAGCAGTAGTCAGTCCACTTATATGATAACTGAATTTGAAACCAGGCGACAAGTATCCTAGTAAGAATGTTTCACAACTGCTTTTCTTATGCAGATTGTCTACTTTACTCTTCCTTTTCATGCAATTCCTTCATTTACTTTCCTATTCCTTTTTAATTTTTTTTCAGTCTTCATCTAAGATCTTTAGTTTTCTTTCCGTTCTATATAGAATTCTCTTATCCATTTTTTTGTTTGTTTCTTTAATGTTTCCACATGGCAGAATATCATGAAATCTAGAGTAGTGGCTATCTTAAAATGATCATGTATTTCACATTTTATTTTCTAGCATAACTTGATGCACCCTCTTCCTTTTTCTTCTTCCTGCTTTCAGTTTGAGTGTGAGTGAATCTTTTTGTGGAATTTTAGGCTTCCAGTGTCTCCATGCTGGTTTGCAAAACAGTAAAACATGTATAAAAGATGACTAAGATAAGGACGGTTATATTTATTCTATACATAATTTAGGTAACCCAAGGAAACTTGGAAGCATTAAAAATGAGTACTGCTGACTGTAGGTTAATTGTAGATCAGGAAGGGCATTTTCTATTGAAACAACGCATTTAAGAAGTTTGAGACATTTTTAACTCTATTATCATAGCTTTGAAAAATCTGAAGAAAGATGCAGGAAGTGACTTTAATAAATTAAATTTAATAATTCTACACATAACTTTTTCTTAAAGATTTATTACTTATTTATTTAATTTATTTATTTTTGGCTGCATCGGGACTTAGTTGGGGCAAACAGGATCTTCGTTGAGGCATGCAGGAATCTTTCATTGCATTTTGTGGGTTCTTCCTTGTGGTGCACGGCCTTCTCTCTAGTTTTGGCATGCAGGTTTTCTCTTTAGCTGTGGCATGCAGGCTCCAGAGCATGTGGGCTCTGTAGTTGCAGCAGGTGGGCTCTAGTTGAGGCGCTGGAGCTCAGTAGTTGTGGCACCCTGGGTTAGTTGCCCCGCGCATGTGGGATCTTAGTTCCCTGACCAGGGATCGAACCTGTGTTCCCTGCGTGTAAGACATGTCTTACACGCAGTCATATAAGTGGACTGTCATATAAGTGGACTGACTACTGCTTATCTGTATATTGTGCAGTGGAAAGGGAACAATTGGACCATAAGGGAAGTTCCTATAACTTTTTTATTATTCTGGAAAAGTCATAATTGTCTACTGAATATTATGATCCTCAATTAAGAATAGTTTAACTTTAAGTTTTTTTCTAGTTCTGTTTACATTAATCAGCATCACTGTTTTGCAATAAAGTAAGATCAGAGAACCACTTGGGGAGAATAATCTTTTCTAATATATGTTAGTTGAAGTTGCTTTAATTAAGTCCAAATTGCATGCTAAATACAAAATGACAGGTCCCATAGCAGGCCTAGCTGAAGGCCAAATGCAGTCCACATCTTATTATTATTATTAAATTTTGGCATTCAAACGTCTCCCTCCTTTCTTTCCCCACAAAAGTCATTGTTCCTTTGCAAAAGGTGAAATAAGTGCACCAAAAAAATCTATTAGATGAGAAACCAACTTCTTGACTCCTCTGATTTACAGAGTGTTAGCAAGAAAATTCACAAGAAAGCAATACAATTAATCGTGGCCTCAAATGCCTCAGGACCCACCGTAGCCTGTCAAAGGTCATTGTAAAGAACATACATCACAGTGCCATCTGATATCTCTTTATAGCCAGTTAAATAGAAGCGGTTACCTATTTCAGTTGAGCCACAAATTCAATTCCCTGCAGTAATTTGAGATAAATTTCTTTAGTGTGCTCTTGTATTTTCCCCAGTCTATATGTCATTTAGGACTGAGCAAAGAGGAATAGTTTGTGTAGCTGAATGCCTGGACAAATGTAAAACGAGGCAACGTATGTGATTATTCCTCCACCAGTTGTGATATTGTCTTGCCCACAAAGGTAATAATGCTGTGCTACTTGGAACCGTGAATTCTGCTGCCAGATGGAAGCTGCACTAACCATCTAATGGACCCATCATCCAAACCTTGGAAGAGACAGAAACACCTTTCACCCCCACGGTCCTTGAAGTGTAATAGAAATACTTGCTGGAGGCATAGGTTCCTTTGCATTGTTTCAGGAAGAAAGGTGTCTTTCTTGAGGACAAAGAGGAGGGGAGTTTGTGGAACTGTGATCTTTCACACAGCAACTGAAAAACTTATTCTGGGATACAGGGAATGAGAGTAAGAGAAAACCTGACAAGAATCAGTGTCTGTGTTTCGTGACTCAAAAAACAAAATGCAGTATCTTTCATTAGATGATAAAGTGAGAGGTTAAACTGCCACTGCTCCTTTCTCTTCTCTTCATCTGGGTTCAAATTAATTACAGTTTTAGTTCAGATCTATGGTACAATGAACTAGAATTCTCTTATCTACAGAGTCACGCATTCAGGCCTATGCTCTAGTGAGGAATGCTTATCATGCTATATATTTCTTTTTAAAATCATCTGTATTGGACTTCCCCGTTGGCGCAGTGGTTAAGAATCTGCCTGCCAATGCGGGGGACGCGGGCTCGAGCCCTGGTCCGGGAAGATCCCACATGCCTTGGAGCAACTAAGCCCATGCGCCGCAATTACTGAGCTTGCTCTCTAGAGCCCGCGTGCCACAACTACTGAAGCCCACGCGCCTAAAGCCCATGCTCAGCAACAAAAGAAGCCACCGCAATGAGAAGCCCGCGCACCACAACCAGAGAAAGCCCGGGTGCAGCAAAGAAGACCCAGTGAAGCGAAAATAAATTAATTAATTAAAAAAAGAAATCATCTGTATTCATTTCAAATTTAGAGATTTCCCCACCCCCCAAGATTTTGCTGGTCAGGATTTTCAGGTAAACTTCAGTCAACACCTATTTGAGCACCCAATAATGATATGAAAACCTGGACACAGGAATTTTCAAACTGATGATCTGGATACATTATCGGTACAGACACATTGACCACATTGAATATTTCTACCTCATCCACACTGACCAGTCTAGGTGCCCCAATAGGCCTGACCCAATAGTTCATACCAAGCATCTAGTGTGAGTATACCCTTCATTCCCTTTACCATCTCAGCTAGATCTGACGCATTGATGTTGGGGAAGAAGTTGAGTTTGAGATGCTTAAAATTTCCAGCAGGCCAACTTCTCTCTACTTGTATTTATAAAAAAATGTGGTCCTCAGTTAATTACTCTAGGCTCTGAATGCAAAAGCTTCCAGGAATCACATAAAAACAATGCCTGTTGTTCTTTCTTTTCTTTTGTAAAGGTTGCTGCTTACTGGACGCTGGCAAGTAGTGTTTGGCTTGAGACAGGAGTACAATTCAGAGTATTTATTTACTCAATCTTTTAGAAATCAATCTTGGAAGTTCTACAAAGATGACTCCTATTTTAAACTTAACAATGCCTATGTATAAGAATTGGGCATTTTGATAGAGTCTCCTTCTGTAACTTGTTTTTAGTAATGGAAAAATATATGAGCCTATGTCAAAATTTTAATCATTGGACTCAAGTGTGATGTCTTAGAGGAATTACGTTGCCAATAGTGTTTTTAATGAAATATATTCATGTACTCATTTGATTAATAATTATAAAGATCTCTAGTATGGTATAATTTACATTTAGTACAGGTGGCTCAGGTGAACAAATTTGAGTAACAATTCCTTTCTGTTTGCTGCAGCATCTTTTCATTTCTTTGTTACAGAAGGAGTTATAGGATACCTGGCATAACTTCATCAGCCTCACCTATGGAACGTTGACTGCTTTGCCTGTAACGTGTTTGGTATTACGTTTAACATGTTTGATCAGTTTTAGCTATGACAGTTATGGTTTTGTGCTCCTGTAAAACTGAAGGTCATTTTAAAAAAGAAAGATGATTTGCTTTATCTGAGAAAGAA